TTTTTTTTGTAATAGCTCCACCCACTGCCCCAGATCTGAAATGTCACATATGCGTCACATCGGGCATACAAGGTACATTTGTTCCATATTTAGAAAGTAATTCTGTAAACACTTTCTTGCTTTTAAAAACAGAATTTCCTTTTTATTGTCAAATTCTTAACATGGATAATGATGGTAACACTTCTTGGTTTACTTCAACAAGCTTCTTGGGAAAAAAGTAAAATAAATCAGCCCAGTGTTGGAGGTACAACTCGAACTCTCTCGGGTGGTGGAGGTGGTGATGAGATGTTCTGTGATGGGCCCCCCTGTGTGATTTCCAAAGGATCAGGCCTGTGGCAACTTCTGCCTGGAAGCTTCTGTGTTTCAGTGGTTTTTAGACACAAGTAGCTCTCAGTCACGACGGTAAATCAACCATGCGTTGACAACACCGAGCATGATGGCAGGACAGGTGGAGATACCACCTCCGTGACTTCATGTGGTACTTGTACCTTGCAATGCAGGCGTCAAGCAGGTCAATACCCCCCATGAATGTGTTGTACTCCACAATGTGTGGCCTTTTGACCTCAACAAATGCCTTGCCCGATTTGCTCCAGCGACGGACTGTATCTTGAGGCTCAGTTGCACAATAGGATGAGATGAGGGTAACAGATTTGTTGTCATACCACTTCACAATAACCATGCTCTCCTCCTTAGTCACCCCGGCATCAACAGATCCTCTGCCTCTCTGGGCAAGACTTTTTTCATCTTCAAGCTGACGACCTGCTAAGCAATTTCCACGAAGTGTTCCTACAAGGTAGATCTGTCGCTGAAGAAGTGTGAGCACAAGTGGGGCTGAGGAGAAGACGTTATCAGCAAATCTTTGTAGTTTTGCTCAGCTGGCAGAGTTTCACACAACTTCACCACAACATCTCCTCCAATCCCAACTAAAGTTTTCTTCCCAGTACCACCTTGATAAACAACAAAATCATGGAGCATACCAGAGGATGAGCACCGGGCCCAGGTTTTCAATCCCCAGGGGTGGGGCTTTCCCTTCACATACTGCCTGATTGGGCCGTGTGTCCCCTTGAAGGGTACCATTTGCTCATCAACAGAGTTGTACTCCTCTGGGACGATATCCAGGCATTGTTTGCGAAACATTTCAAGCCATGGACGGATCTTCCAGCACTTGTCTTCTGCATCTCTGTGTAATAAATCTGTATTGTCAGTGAAATGTAGAGACCCCAACAGGGTTTGAAATCGGTTGCGGGACATGTTATCTGCTACCATAGGACACCTGGTGTCATTTTCCCAGTATGCTCGATTTCCAGGCATTTGGCATAGACCCATCCTCAGATAGAGACCAATGAGTATTTGTAGTTCTTTGTTAGCGGTATTTACATTTCTCAGATGGTTGGAGTTTTGTACACTGTATAAATTTGTTTGTTCCATTAACAACAGCAGCATGTTGTGATTAAGTTTCTGAAGTTCTCCAGTGGAGTGTGGATCTCATCTGGAGGTTTGGCACAGGGTCCCTTGAATGTGATCTCAGGGGCTTCGAACATCTTCTTTCTCCAGGAGAATTTTTGTCCTTTGATAGCTGCTTTGGGCTGCCCAGTGAGAATATGGCTTGAATGTGGCTCTGTCTCAGAATCACTTGAATCACAACTGTCTGAATCACTGGATTCATCACTCTCCACGTCTTTGTGGGGGATGTAATTAGGGTCACCAGAATCTTCATCTGAGCTACTTTCACATCCCTCATACTCACTGTCCTCTGCAGTGATAAACTCCAGCGCATCTTGAACACTATTTTTTTTCCTTTTATTCATTTTACAAAAGAGTGAAAATGACAAAAAAAAAAAAAAAAAAAAAAAAGGGGGGTAACTGAAAAACGCCTCGACAAAGTTAAAGTTCCATCACAAATTTAGGTAATTTAATAAATTAGTTATGCTTGAATTTAGTTAAATATGACTGAGAATTAACAACAAAGAATACGTTTACTTAAAATAATTGAATGAGCTAAACTGACTAAGCAAAGGATCAGTTTGTCTTTTTGTGACAAATATGTGACATCAGTTTTTTAAAGAAAATTTGAGTTTAATGCTCGATGTGACATATTTGTCACAGCGATATTTAACAAACTGATCCTTAAAAATTAAGACGGACTTTTGCGAGATCTTGCAAAACTAACTGAATTCCAACAATGGCGGCAGCTACTTAGTTGTAATATTACTCTTCCTGGGTCACAAAATACACATAAGATATTTTGAGGCTTGAATGTAGTTGTGTAAACATCAGATACCTGCTCGGTTTACAAGACATCACATATTTGCAAAAGTGCTCCAACCTGACGCCCACTAGCTCGAAGCTAACGGGAGGTCGAGACCTATTACAGCCGGGAGGAACACCGCTTTCCCGGCACATCGTGCCTCGACCTCCTGGTCGGCTTCGAGCTGGCGGCCTCCGAAGAATGCGGCTAAAACTTTTGCGAGATCCCGAGTTTGTTTTGCGAGATCTCGCAAAAGTCCGTCTTAATTGTTTTTTCCTCCCATGTCCCCTGCGGGGCTCCGTAGATTCTAGATCAAATTGTTTCAGAAATATTACCAAACTAGGTTACAAGTGACCTATGACATCTTATCTAAAGTTTAGAATTACTGAATGAGTAAAAGCTTACCTTTGCAAAAAGAAAAGAAAGTTTTTAGAATTAGCATAGTGGTCTCATTAGCTAACCAGGCGGACCAAGACTTGGAAAATGGTGTCTTGAACACCCAGAGTGCCTCACTTGTCACATGACTGAACTAGTTTGTGCAGTAGACGTCACTTAGGGACTTTATTAGTTAAAAGTTAAACCATTATAGTTTTTCTCTAAGTGTAAAGGGGCGGTGACACCAGTGTCACTGTGGGTCCTTAAGGGTTTTAAATTAAAAATGTTAATTTCTGTAACAGTGAAAAAATGAAATCAAACTTTTCTGTCATTTGTTGTTCATCTGCCAGTGAGGGTGGTGTAATATGGGTGGATGACGTATCTGCTGCGTGTTTGTGATGCAGTGAGCTGAAGAAACGAGGAGCACAGAGGAACTCTCAAAGCTCTTTAATTACATCTAAAAGTCAAAGCAAAGAGTCACGTTAGCGCTGTACAAACTCCACAGTCTGACACACAGGTACCGATCGGACTCACACCGCTGCGCTATTCACATCCACCCCCCCACCCTGATCTCACACACACACTCTAAAATCTTCACTGATCAAGTAAAAAGCCAGGAGGAGCATTCAGAGTCTCGCCTGCAGAGTAAAAGCTTCAATAAAAAGTGTCATGAATCCCAGAGCTCCACTCAGCACCCCCACCCACAGCCCCACCTTAAAATGCCATAAGTACATGAACGTGGAAACAAAAAGGACAGCTGGATGCTGCAGGAAGGAAAAGTTGCGCTTGATCACAAAAATTCAAGTTTTCTTCTGCAGGATTTTGAAGGATGAGGAAGTGTGTGTGTGTGTGTGTGTGTGTGTGTGTGTGTGTGTGTGTGTCCACTCAAACATCTTCCACTACAGGAGCTCGGTGACCCGACTCTTAAAGCTGACATTTAAAGTGTGGGTAAGTGCTCGAGGTGCTCCTCAGTCTCTATACGAACAACATGAGCTGCACCGAACAGCAACGTCCACACCAAGACCTGCAGTTCCTCTGACGTCCAGCAGAGGCCCCACACACTCCTAACGTCTACAGCCTGACAGACAAACTGTTCTGGTCTCTATACATCACTTCCCCCTTGTAACACCTGTGGGGCAGGGCTCTATAACTCACCTGTCTTAATTGGAGAAGGGCTTGTATTATTAGGGGTGTGGCCTCTGGACCAATAACATGGCTGCTGTGAGGTCACTAACAGGCTGTCCAAGAACACTGAGTGAAATCTGAGGGTTTAGATTGGATGTTACTGAGCAACAGCAAGTTCCTGTAGTGGTAGACACACACACACACACACACACACACA